GGAAACAAATCTTGTCTACCGAAAAGAACGAGATCTATGACTAATCAGACAGATAAAATCACACTGTTCTTCTATGCACTGCACATCATCACCATCGGGTTGATCCATGTAACGTGGCTGATTGTTTCGTCGAGAAGACAACACCTCTCCACCCCTGAGGGAAAGTGGGGGGGGGGGCATTGTGTGTAGAAGCTGAGTCGGTTGCAGAACTATTTGCTAATGCGATCGAGAGAAACACAAACTGAACAGGGGAACAGCCATTCGAAGTAGAGGGGAAATATGCACAGCAGAGACTAACGTAAGAATACAGTAATACAGAGATACAACGGTGCCTAACTGACATGGCCGAAATATCTGTCGGAGCAGATTACTGACAGATTGATCATACGCACGGGCATTAGCACATAAATCGCAGTGCACCCGACTTACGAGACAAAACTATGGTTCGGTGAGACAGACTATCGTCATCTAAACAGCAAAGGTGGAAAAAACAGATCTACGATTATTGTTTAGTTTATGTGATGAGAAAGATTTAGTTAGTGTGGATTTGCACTGGCTTATCAGCATCACACATATACGAGACCTGTTGGTAGTGGGCAACACTGTGTGATATGATGCAATCATTGAAATTCGTCCGTTCGCAACACAAGCGCTGAATGTCGTTTTGGGTAAAGCTGAAACGTCCACAAAACAGATTAATCAACTGGAAATGGAATAGTCTATTCCTATAGGAAGAGACTCTTGGCACGCGGATTGTGCTCAAACTAGCACCGTAGAAGTTGATTAACTTAGTCAAATGAGCACTGCTCATGTACACTAGCCAACAGTTTCATGACATATTCAGACATTGTATAAGCTGATGAAAAGCATACAGTACGTATTCTTTTCTCGTATCGAAACTAATGTATTTGGGATGAACAAGTTCCTGAAGAAAATAACTGTATTGTGTATTCTAACTTACAGTTTTAGACTCGTGTTCACAGATGAACTATCGGCGCGCATACAGAGGGCTGGGTTGGCATTTGCCAACCTGAGAAATTCGTGGCGCCGTCGCGGCATCCGGTTGTCTGTGAAGGGTCGAGTATATGCTGCAGCAGGTCGACCAGTTCTGCTTTACGGTGCAAAGACTTGGCCATTACAGGAACAGGATAAAAATAGATAGTCTGTGTTCGAACACCGCTGTCTACGTCGCATTGCACGAGTCTGGTGTGGTAACCGGACGAGCAATGCTGAGGACAGGTGTAGAGTTTTAGGCAGTCGCGGGTGTCCACTGAAGCAAGTGATCGACCTCCATAGACTACGTTGGTTGAGGTATGTGTTACGTATGTCACTAAATAGGTTGCCACGGTGAACGTTATTTGGCGAGGCAGGTGGCGGTTGGAAAGAGGTCAAAAGGGTGGTCAAAGTAGGACTTGGTATGAGGGTATGAAAACCTTAACTAGGAGACTGGGTCACATGGGTCCCGTTAGGGTCCCTGGCTGGGAACCCCGAGGTCATGCTCATCGATGGTCAGAGACATTGAGTAATATGGCTGGGTGTCGCAAACAGTGGCGCTCATGCATCTACTCATTATTCTTGTAACGTCAGTCTACATAAATGCGCTATCTTCCGCTTGAATTTGCTGCAAACATTCTAATCTTCATTCTGCTGTTTTATCCAAATGGGCAACCAAAAGACAGCCACTATAACCGGCGCATGAAATCGCATGGTTAATGGTTGTAAAAACTGAAATTGAAATTTTAGATTCGTGCACTGTTGTGTACACAACGGGGGGTCGAACACCGACAGTCTATTGTCATTCTGTTTCCGTACGTTAATGATCTGCCAGTAAGATAACTACTGTGGTACGTTCACTCAGGTTTAGTTATTCGTTGTTGTGGAAACGGTGGTCATTTGGACCTTCAAGGAGCACCGTTTTGTATGTGATGAGAATAGGAATGAGCCGAGCATTATTCGTAGGAATCCATCAGTTTAATCCGGCCACTTTGGGGGAGAATGCGTGTCAACCGGCGGATTTCGATTAAACAATCGCAGTTTTTTAACCGCCTCAAGAAACTGTTGTCAAGGCTAAACAAACACTCAGTTATGATCCGCATTATTCGAAGTCTGTGTCAGTCCCCAAAAACGGTAATAACCGATCGCAAACTGTTTAAACAAACTCTCGATAGGTCGTTCGCACGTCCTATCACTAGACATGCACAGTCATTTTTCAATGAACGATAGCCAAATATCGGTGGAGTTTCTGTAATCTTTGGTCAGTCGGTTCTCAATGAATAAAACCAGTTTAGTCGTTCCGTTTAGGGGTCCTCGAGTATGGGGAGGGGTGGGGGTGCAGTTTATGGCGCATGGGACAGTCTTATCCGATTAATCATTGAATCAAAAGTAAAGCAGTGTTGAAGGAAATCTTACACACAATGAGAACAATGATTTGAGTAGATATTCACAGGGTAATGAACCTACTTCAACCGTCCCCTTGCTTAGTGCACCAGGCAGACGATTATGATCATTACTGGAAATAAATGACAAAAATAAAAAGCATGATTGCATGGGAAGTCGGTGAGTGTGTTTATCGTACTTGACAAACCACACGGGTAAACAGACCGATTGAGTACGGCTGATATCACTGATCTTGATCGAAAAAACAGCTTACTCGAACGGTATTGTCAAGAGAGCCGGAGTACAGAAGACGATCATCATAGACCAAACAAACCACACCGGCTGAATGTCCACTGTTCGAGAGGATTCGTTCGAAAATGATAATTCGCGATGAAAAAAACAAACAGGAAAACAGAGAAGATATAGAGTGAGATAAGATACCAAAATCGATCAGTTTGGTGCAATGTACACACGATTCATCGAAATTAGTACAGAACGTTGTAGTGATCCCCATTCGATGGTATGTAGATCTGTCATGTGAACTGAGAGCACTAGTTTCATTCTCCATTGNTATATATATATATATATATATATATATATATATATATATATATATATCATTCAGAATTAGGGTGACCACGATATACTATTCTTCCAAAGCTTCTAAGGACTGAGAAAAACGTAACCCACAGCTAACGAGTGATTCGACTAAATATCTAACTAAATACACGTATACGTGGTTGTATTCCAGTGTGTTTAAATGACCACTACACGTTTGGCATTCACTCCGTTTTGGACGAAGCTCGTGCACTGATCTCCCACTTTATTAATGCGCCCGTAACCGACATTCTACGTGTGAATTCCGTCTTTTCTATGTGCATTCGGTGTGAGGTATACGAACACAGACGAGGGGCTCTGGCAGCGCTATAGAGTTCTTCTCACACCTTTGTGTGTATGCGTGTCCATCCCCCATTGATTTGCAAACTGTGAACGGGAAAAACGAGAGTTAATCAGAAGTGCGTGACAAGCCCATGGCGGTTTTGTCGAGCAGTATTTACTCGCGAAATATCGATTCGCTTGCCCATGGCCCAAACACTGATTTCACCTCGTTCAGGTTCGATTTACTTTTCGGTAAACTGGACACAAGAGTCTCAACCCGGTTTTTGATACCCTGTTTTTAAAACCTCAGATAAGATCCTCGGTAAGAAGCGAAGAAGACGAGAGAAGAAGTGCACGCTATATCACATTTCATTTGATCATCAGTTTGGAAGCGGTGACCAGATTGACCACCAGCTGTGAATAAAGCGAGCTCAGGTTCACTGCCACCACAGACGAGTAGCAGCAGCAGTATCCAAAGGGCGTGGTGGATTTTCTCTGCCCAAGCGTTCCTAATGTGAAACCCTCCAAAAAAGTTACCAACAGTACAGTAACGGTACAACAGAATGGATCTCCAAAGCCAAAGGTAGGAATGATCTCCCAGATTGGTTCCCAAAAGGGCAAACATTTAAGGTCTTGAATGTAAATACCGGTATCTGAAGACATATCTCCTTCTGTAAACTGGAAAGGGAGACATTAGATATTGCCGGTGCTCATATATTGTTCGTATGAGACTAAAATGTAACAACCTTTTATCGAGCAGTATAAAAGGTCAACATATAAATAGTCCAGGAATGGGGCGGCCCTTACCGCATTTCTGCACTGCGATTTCCCGTGTTGAAGCGTGTTGGTCCGCTATCTATGATATCTGTAGACGATCCTTCCCATTTCACACATTGGATAAGGACTTGTAGGAGTCCTTGGATCGATTTGCGGAAGACTTTCGTGGCTTTCAATTGGTTACTTGCACTCAATTTTATATTTATAATTCTAGAACTCGTTCCCCGTGGGTGAAGGATTATGGACGTGAGCTGCCGCCAGGAGTTCCTTATTACTATATCAAGTATTGCTGCGTCCATCGACCAATAAAAGGAGGTTCCAAAGGAAGCAGGTAAATTGTGGTAAATGCCAAATGAAATAATCTACTGTTTTTATTTTTGTAAACGCCAGAATTTTCAATGTCTTGCACAAGTAACTGTTCGTTATGCGGATGGGGTTTATCGTGTAGCTCAGTGGTCGATGCAGCATAGTCATAGTTTTCATGTAGGAAATCGGTCGTTCTACGTGGGGAATCGTAAGTTGACTGTCGAGCAGGAAGGGAATTTAAACGACTTAATGGGTAACTTCAAACAAACCGGGGAATTACGTCAATATGTCGATAAGACGTACGGACGACGATTAAACACCGAAGATCTAAGGTCTATTCCTCACAGGTGGTCTAAGAAGGAAAAGCGAACCGACGCAGTTCGAGTTCGCAATTTATTGAAAGATAAAGATTTGGTCCATATCGGTTACGAAGATGATATGATAGAATGCATATATTTTGTTCCGAACCTCAGTTAGGGAGCTGAGAAAGCGTTTCACGAACGTTATCATAGCAGATGCCACCCACCAACTGAATTGTGGTGTTTAAGTATAGTGGCACGCAATGCTAATATATGAGACGGGTTTGGGACGTAGTTTTTTTCTATGCAATTCTCCCCAACGAGAGTAATATTATTTATGACGAACGTGTTGCCAGAAACACGTCGCGTTTCAACAATAATAGTAGATCGTAGTCTAGTGCAATACAACGCGTTCCGGAGCCAATTTCCCAATGCGTCTGTGGTTTTCTGTAGGTCTTATATTTTAAAAGACATGATACAGAGATGCAATCAGTTAATTGGTGTCGGTCCGACAGAGAAATTAGGCTTATTTCAGTGCATGCGAAACCTAGTGTTCACATATCCGTAAATTTTTCACCTAGGGATTGCAATGCGACTACAATCTCTCGATCTAAGTCCTCATTGAATTTAGATGCACAGGCTTATCATACGGGAGAAGATACCCACTGTTTGCACATCCGGGTTAAAATGTTCCCCATTTCAGATAAAAGATTGGTACTTTGCGTTCTGAGTATGATTAGTGAGACGGTAGGACATATCAAAATGATACGATTCTTCTCGCATCATGCACCGTCCTACTGTGTTCGAATTGATGTCTTGATCGTATGCTACGCGTGTT